TCCATCTCTGTAAGGAAGTTTCTTCTCTGCAGCCGCTGGGCGTGCTTCTGAAGAAAACCTCGGCGTCGGTCATCCGAAAGACGAGGCTCATCTCCGTCCTTCTCGAGGAACTCGTTCGATTTCCGGCGAGCACTTTTCCGCCTTCCGCCGCGTTGTGCTTCGAGGAGTTGTACCTAGTTCTGCAGAGGATTAAGGTACTAGTTGAGGATTGTAGCTCCTGCAGCAGAATGTGGCTGCTGGTGCAGGTCCCTTCGATTTTGAGCTCATTTCAGCAGATGACGGCGGAATTATCGACGCTCCTAGATATTTTACCGGCGAAGGAGATGGAATTGAGCGAGGACGTCGGGGAATTGCTCGATCTGATTAAGAGGCAGTGCTCGGCGAGAGGCTCGCCGGCGTGTGCGGACGCGTGCGACGAGGATCTGAGGATTGAGGTGCTGAAAATGCTGGAGGACATCAAGAGGGAGGTCGTTCCCGACCAATCGAAGCTTGGCATGATTTTCGAGAGGCTGAATTTGAGCGACACGGCGAGCTGCAGCAGCGAGATCGAGAATCTCGAGGAGGAAGTGCAGAGCCAAAACGACGACGTTTCGAAGGTAGAGATAATCGCTCTGATGGGGCTCGTGCGGTACGGGAAGTGCGTGCTGTACGGCGCGTCGACGCCGCGGGCGTCCTCTGCCGCCGCCCTCAGACGCCGGAAATCGGCTTCGGAGGTGAATTTCCCGGCGGACTTCCGGTGCCCGATCTCACTCGACCTGATGCGAGATCCGGTGGTGGTGTGCACGGGTCAGACCTACGACCGCTCGTCAATCGGCGCGTGGATCGAATCGGGTCACGCGACTTGCCCGAAGACGGGTCAGGCTCTGGCCCACACGCGCCTTATCCCCAATTTGGCACTGAAGAATTTGATAGCTATGTGGTGCAGGGACCAGCGGATCCCTTTTGAGACAACGGAGGTCAACGTAAATCCTAACGGCGCCGTTCTCAACAAGGCTGCTCTGGAGGCCACCAAGATGACCGTTTCATTCCTCGTCAACAAGCTGGCAGCGGCGGCGGCGGCGGCATCGCCCACCGCCGCCGACCGTCTCGTCTACGAGCTCCGCGTCCTCGCCAAGACCGACTCCGACAGCCGTCTGTGCATCGCCGAGGCCGGAGCCCTGCCGCTGCTCGTCAAGTGCCTCGCCTCGGACCTCCCGAGCCTCCAGATAAACGCCGTCACCACCATCCTCAACCTGTCCATCCTCGACTCCAACAAGGCTCGGATCCTGGAGACCGACGGGGCCATCGACGGGGTTATCCACGTGCTGAGATCAGGCGTCACGTGGGAGGCCAAGGGAAACGCTGCTGCCGCCATCTTCAGCCTGACCGGTGGCGCCGGCCGGCGCCGCCTCGGCCGGAGGGTGCGTGCCGCCACACTGGCGCTACTCGACCTGGCAAAAACTGGGCCCATGGGCCCCAGACGAGATGCGATGATGGCTATCCTGAACCTTGCAGGAGATCGGGAGGGGGCCGGGAGGCTAGTTGAAGCAGGGGCGGTGGAGGTGGCAGGGGAGGTGATGGACGTGCTACCGGAGGAAGCAGCGGCGGTGCTGGAGGTGGTGGTGAAGAGAGGTGGGATGGTGGCAGTGGCGGCAGTTTACCACCGGAACGTGGTGGAGAGGCTGGCGAAGCTGCTGAGGGACGGCTCGGATCGGGCCCGGGAAAGCGCGGCAGCTACATTGGTGATTGTTTGCCGGAAAGGAGGGTCGGAGGTGGTGGCTGAGCTGGCGGCGGTGGCGGGAATCGAGAGGGTGGTTTGGGAGGTGATCGGGATGGGTAGCGGACGGGCGAGACGAAAGGCAACGACACTGTTGAGGATACTAAGGAGATGGGCAGCCGGGCTAGTCGGGCGAGATTTCGGCTCGGGGCACTCGACAAATATTACAGGTTTGAATATGATGAACCCTACAAGAATAGTGTTGCCTGCATAGGGAGGAACTTTTTCTATTGTTTATGATGACTTTGTTTGTTTGAATTGATGTTGTCACTTACGATTCATTTGTTCAGATTCATTTAACATTATACATATGATTCATGGGAATTACTGTTTGTTGAAGAAATGTATGTATTTGTGCTCTGATTGTAACAATGGCCAACTAAAGAGATGGCTGCTTGTTGTCTTGTAATGTAAATGCTCCATTGTTTTCTCTTGTGACAATATGAATCTGAATGGTTTTTTAGTGCAAAAATGCCAGTTGGTTTTTTCATCTTTGGTTCCATCTCGTAGTTTATCTTAGTCTGACGACTCTTGAAGCCATTGAAAAGATCAATTATTTCATCGTGAAAGTTCTAAGAATGTTCAATTTTTTTATTTTTTTTATTTTTAAATCGAGATATGGAAAGAAGCACTTATTATACTGATGAATTAAATGAAATGGAGTATTATGTTAATGCCTCATAATTTACCAAGATTAAAGACTTGGTGATCAAATAAGCTAGCTTATACGCTTCATTTATTTAAATAAATTTCGTTTGGTATAACGAGATTTTTTAAGAAGCTCGAATTTATCTTATATGTTTGTTTAGGTAACTTTGTAAATAAGCTAGTTAAAATTTTTATTTAAACTAGCTTATCATTTATTTTTTACCAAACTCTTTTATCGTATAAGTTAAATTTTCAGCTATAAGTTATAAACTATAAACTCAAAATCACTTATCAACTATTAAGTTAGTTTTATCAAGTAAAGTCATAGGGTTTCTAGACTGTAGTTTCTCTATAGAGTTCAGGCTTAAGGCCATGTTAGGAGCAATTTGTGGAACTTCAACCAGAATTTCAGAGCCCTGGGCCTCTAAAGTTTGAGCCCAATACTATCTGAGATGCACTCAATGTGGGAATATATTAGGCCCATATTGAGGTCAAGGGAACTGGGCCTATTTCTACTAGCCTTCTTTAGTCATAGGGCCTGGGCTATCAGTGACAAAATTGGCCCTAGGGCAAGAAAAATGTTTTTTTCCCCCCTTACTTTCCTGGCATTAATGATTGGTTAATTAGTTTACATAAGTAGTTTCATTGTCATAAGTTTTTAATTTAAAATATTTGTTTTAATGGTTATAGTTAAGCATGTCGAATCGAGAAAATTCGACCCGCGTAGGGTCGAATCATCCGTAGAATTCAAAAGTGCGAAAATAATTGAGACGAATTGACTAGTGTTAGTTTTCAATTAATATGGTACTACAAACATTGACATGGAAGTGTCATCCGTGCCTCAGCAACATATAGAAAGCAAAGCCCCTACACAGGGGCGGAGCCACCCTAAGGCTAGGGTGGGCTCCAGCCCCTTGTAATTTTTTGCTACCCTTATTTTTGCTAATCTTATTTTCTAAAAAAATTTATACATAGACCCATTAGCCCCATGTAATTTTTTATATAGCCCCATTTAATTTTTGGGCTGAGTGACTCAAGATTATCTTCAAGTTAAAATTTGTTATCTGACAACAATGGTGGAAAAATGATGATTATAGTGAGGAAAAAAGATAATCCTTTATTGTCAAATGACAATTGTGACCTTATTAGATTTTTATCTATTGAGTTTATAATGTGACCCAACACACTCTTGTCTTTAAATTTTTAATGGGTTGACTTGACAAATATCAAATGAGCTGCATAATTAAGTTTGACACAGACTTTTCCAGCGGGCTATTTAATTCGATTCGTCTCATTCCACAGTCCGTTATCCATTTTCATTTATTTTTTTTTCTTTCGCCTCCAATAATTAATTCGACATCATTTCCTAGACAATGAGAAAACTCGTACAGAGTTGATTGCAAACATGTTCGACTTTATTTGTTTGATCGACAAGTTCGATTAGCTATTTGAGTTTGGCTTGTTTAAATATATAAGCGATTCGAGATTGAGTTTTTCCAATTCAAACCCACATATGTTAGCAGATAATTTGTTTATAATCATAACCAAAACCATTTAGAGGCCGAAACCGTCGATACCAGGCCGAGAGTTGGAGGAGCATGAACCGACGCGAACATATATGAACCGACGCGAACATATGTACGGGTCGGTTCATTGAATTGTCGAATACTGGTCATCCGGTTCATTAAAAAATACAAAATAATTAAAATAATGTTTAAAAAAACGAACCTCGGGTTCCGGTTCCAGTTCGGAACCAAAACTGCATGTTCAAAATGTATAAACTATAAAGTATTGTACATGAACCGAACTGGTCAAAACCACGGGTTTGTTCAAGGCCATGGTCAACGGGTCTGCTTGTGTCGGTTTGGGCCGAACCGACATGCTGGGTCGGCCCATGACCATGTCTACAAGGTTCTAATATTAGCTACAATAATATGCAGCCCCAGGTTAAAAAAATTTCTGGCTACGCCCCTGCCCCTACACACTTTATCACAAGACCCTTAAGCTCACTGTAGCTTACCAAGAAAAGTGAAACCACGCTTTTAATCCGGGCGTAAAGCGTACTTCTGAAAATTGAAAAGCTGATGCGGCACATATTTGTTCTTGTCTACCATAATTCAGTGATACAATTATTGATTAAGACAAAAAAAAAAAAAAAAAAAAAAAAAAAAAAAAAGGTTTCAGTGGTTGGTTAGAAACAGACAAACAGCATGAATGAGGCCTTAGTAGGATGGTGAAAATATGGGTAGCCCTGTAGAATTTACTTACTAGAGATAAAAACATAGGATTTTTTACTTTTGTGCATAATATTTACCCAATTCAGATCAATAATTAGTTTAATTTTACTCAATAATGTAATAATATCTACAAGGAAGATTTGTTTAATGATTGAAAAAAAAAAAGGTAAATAGGCAACAACAAGTAACAAGACTTGAGATGAGAATCTATGTTTAACATGTGTTTAGATTTTAGTCATATGTATAATAACTAGATTCGTTCCATTTTAGCAAACTTTAAACGCTCTCTAAGACAACAACTTTAAGTGTATTCATTAATTAACTCAGCTCACAAAACACGCGTGTCTTCTTGTATAACAAATCTAAATCCATACGAGTCCAGATTTTCTCCCTCCAAAATTATACTTATATCGATAGGACAACCGATTTAGGTGGGTATTATTATTATTATTTTATTTTATTTTATTTTATTTTTTTTTTTGTCAAATAAAAAATAATAATAATAAAGCAAGCTTTACCTGCAAAAGCCATTTTCCTAGTGACACAAATTTCTCGCCTAAGCTGGCCCACGGAAAAACTCCCTCTCTACCTTTCTATTTATCCAACATTTTCACACACACTCAACAAAACATCTTCATTTTCATCTCTTCTTCTTCTTCTTCTTTCATCCCTCGTTAATCATTATCCATATTTCTCAATCCTTTTATTTTTCTTTTCAAAAAGAAAAAANNNTTTTTTTCAATTAAAAGAAAATGGGCAATCAGAAGTTCAGACTATCAGACATGATCCCAAACGCCTGGTTTTACCGTCTCAAGAACCAAAACCACCGCAAAATCACGGCCAAAAAGCCGCCTGCCGCCGTCCCTGCCCCTTCATCCTCCTCCTCGTCTTCCCATTCATCCTTATCGTCCATCTCATCATCCTCCCTTCCCCCACCACCGCAACTTACCAAATCTCCCCCCTTCCCGGAGCAGAGGAAGTCCTACTACTTCACCCGCGGCCTCATCACCGACCCCCCGCCCGATCCCTCCCGTAGATCGTCTTCCCGGCGTCGCCGGAGCACCCGCCGCCGCTCCGTCTCCTCCACCTCCGGCTGCATCTGCCGCCCCGTCTCCTCCTCCGTGGAGCCCTCTGACGGCGAAGGCGACCGCGGCCTCACCCCCGACGACGGTTTCGAGGACATTCCTCCGATCGACGGTCGCCGTAATTCCAATTTCGATCATCGTCATCTCCCTCCCATCATCACTAAAAAACAGCAACAACAACAACAACATCAAAACCAACAGAAACTACATCAGCAGAAAAACCTGCAGAAACAACAGAATCTGCAAAAACAGAATCAACAGCAGCAACAACAGCAAAACCAGAAACAACAGAACCGGACTGGCAGTCCAATGAGGCGACTGTCGGGAAACAATCTGTCATCAGGAGTTAGGCTGAGAACGAACGCGAACACTCCGAGGATGGGGAACCGAAGGAGGAGGAGAGTGGGGGAGAGTCTGGCGGTGGTGAAGTCGTCGAGGGATCCGGGGAGGGATTTCATGGAGTCGATGGTGGAGATGATAGTGGAGAACGATATAAGGGGGAGGAAAGAGCTCGAGGAGCTGCTCGCGTGCTACCTGTCGCTGAACGCTGACGAGTACCACGAACTCATCATCGCTGTTTTTAAGGAGATTTGGTTCCATTTCATAACCTTGAGCTAAGAAGTTAAGCTTAACCAAAACTTAGCTTCTCTAGTTCATCACCTTCTCCTTCATCTTACTCTGTATTTATTGTCATAATTACTATTATTATTGTGTGTTATTATTAGTATTGTTAAGTAGTTTAAATAGTACAAGTTTAATTGTGGGGATATGATTATTGGAGGTTAATTCCAAATTGGTTTAGTCTATAGTAGTATTGTAATTTGGTCTACAAGGAGGTCCCTTGGTGAAGTGAAGTGTGTTGATTTAGAAAAAAAATCTTCAACTCTAAGTGGAGTATGCTTTTATTTTTAATTTTTTTTTATTTAAAAAAAAAAAGATTAAAATGTTATGGAATTAGGTATGTATATGTGTATGATCAATTTTTATAATATATTAGTTAATAGTTCGAGCTTTACTCGCTCATTTAACAAACGATAAAGACTCAAAATCGAACTCCAATATCATGAGATTAATCTCAGCTCGACTCATTTACAAGATGTAAAAGGCATCCGTGTATGTGTACAAGTTCTTAACGAATATTTTATTTATCATAAAAATAAATAAATAAAAAAGAAATGGAACATATGGATGGTTTGTAGTTGTAAATATAAATTTGTGAATAATTGCTCTAATTTGCAACCGTGTGTGTACAAAATATTGATAGGAATTGTCATTTTAATTTTATTATTTTTTTTTCTTTCAATTATTCGCGGACATAATGATTAATGACCCTAAAAGCCAAGAGATCATATGCTGGAATAAAGCGATTGCTAGTTATATCGATCATCAAATAATTTGAAATGAGTCATAATCTAAGTTATCAAATAATTGAAAACAAATGATTAATAAATAAATAAATTATTTTTTTATAAAATAGAAAAAAAAAAGGCTGAAAGCAGAATAATGGCCGTAAACGTCAAATCAGACGAATTCCACAGTACTAATTAATTTACCAGAAAGCAATTTAATCCAATTTATAGGCAAATTCTGCCTTTAAAGATATGTCTCAATTTGTTTCATTTATTAAATGTCCATTTTTGGGTAGGGGACCGTGTGGTGACCCCAATATTCCATTATTTATTATAGTTTTTTTTATCACCATACGGTAAAAAATAATTAATTTTCCCAGTACGGAATAATAAATATCAATTTAATAAAAAAAAAACATTCAAATTTTAATTTACTTTTTGGTACAGAAAACTTTAAAATTATTGGGCATGAAAAGAAGATACTACACTCTTTTACGGACAAAGTTCAGTTTCAGGTTCTGCCCGTGTTTCTCTGGGCACTATTATATATCTATCTATCTATCTATCATCAGCTTTCATTTAATTTAATTAAAAATAAATAGGTTAATAGTAGTATTAAGATTCAAATTTTAGTAAATTGTACTGTAACAGCACGTTCAACAAGCTAGTACACTAATTAAGATCAACTTTTTTATTTTAAATTCAAAATATTAGGCAAAATAAAATTAACAATATATAAGCACGCATATATATCTTCAATTTTGTCTAAACTCGTTCTAGGCAATTACTTAGGTGTAATCCTTTTGAAGACTTTTCGAATTTCAAGATCCGCGTGGAGAAAAAAATATTGTACTATAAGGTTGTTTATCAACTGTTTTACGAGTTCATGTGCGCGCTTGTGTCTAATTGGTAGACGGATCGACATATTATACTTTTATAATAAAAAGCGTATATTTATACTAGAAAAATATTACTATTATTTTATTTATATTATGTTTTTGAAATGTGACATTTAATTTTAAAAAATATGCATATTATTTAAAAATTTATAATAATTATCTAGTTGTTAGATCAACCTAACAACATAAATCATTAAATTTCTATTGGATTCTAGCTTGCCTGAATTATATTTTTCCCACTAGACTGCATTTTTATTTTATTGAAAGAGGGTTTTGTCAAATATTCAAGATTCTCAGGTGCAATAAGGAATTTAATAATGTATGCCTTATAACTATTTAGGCCACCAAAAGTCAAATGATTTAATTCCTCACTTCATAAATTATAAATGAATTAGTCAACAATGAAATTAGTGAAAGTAACAATATAACAGAACATTTAATAGTACTATTTTTCATTTTATAAAATCAATAGTTCTTTTGTTAGCAAGACAGCGTAATTGTTAGTCTACCATACTATTATAACAAATATACAGATAATTTAATAATTAGACACCGAAACTTTAAAATATAAAACAAATAAAAGTATAACATTTCATAGTATATTTATGCATTTTTTTTTTGGAATAAAATTAAAATACATATATACAAGTCAAAGTCTAAGTGGAGCTGATAAGTAACACGAGCCAAAGTGAGTTCGGTTCGACTCGTTGAGACTCTAGTTCAACTCACTAAAGGAGCCGATCGAGTTCAAACTCGTTTGGCTAATGAAGCAAGAAAATAACTTTTTATTTTATTTTTCTAAAGCTCGATCAGTTCGTTAAGGCTCGAGCATTATAAGTTAGAGCTCCAGTCGACTCATTTACACCTCTACATCTACCTAACGGTAGACAGTCTAATACTATATCACTTCTTTTATACAATATACTAGGCAATATTCTTATTTTGTAGACTGGTAATTCATGAAACTATATATATTTTAGGATGAAAATTAAATCATTGATTTATTTCAAATTTAAGTAGGATTATCCTTTATTATATTTTTAGGCAGAGATACTCCGTGAGAATAGATACGGATATATACCTAGTATCACTTGAGCCCCCACAAAATTTTGTCAATTAATTTGACCTATATATATATATATAACACACACATGCATGTGTGTGTAATAATTAAACATACTGTGGAGTGTGAACAAATATACCTCAAGATCTTCTAATGGACCACGGCCAAAAAAACTACATTTCTTTGTTGATCTGCACACATTTATTAACATTTTTTTTTTTGTTATAAACCCTAATGATCTTGATAATTATTAGTTAAATGATTGTTTAATTTTATTTTGCAGTATCATTATCCATTAATCTGATGTATATTATTATATGCCCAAGCTAGCACGGATATTTATTGTACCCTTCACTTAAAATAGACTAATCTCGTTGACATTATTCATTTGTCATTTTATGATCATGATCACTTTCTCTTTATTAATTATTAGTATTTTAATAAGCTATACTATATTATGAATTATTATATGCTAATAATCATTTATTCATTCTTTTAATTAATTTCCACTAATTTGTAGAACTGTTTTAATTTGGTATGGACAAAAGATTCATGCATGTTAGTGTCACTACCAAAAAAAAAAATAATAATAAATATAGAATTTTTGTGTAGAATTTTTTTGTCACTATATCTACAGTTATTGTCACTATATCTACTGTCAGTATATCTACAGTTGTTGTCACTATATCTACAATTGTTGTAGATATAATGACAACAATTGTAGATATAGCGACAACATAGTGACAAAAACATTTTTCACTAAAACTCTATTTTCTTGTAGTGACGGTTTGCTAAATCAACCCAAAATTTTCGCAGACAAACGACATTACTTGCGGTGGGTGTCGATCGGGGGGCCGCAAGGAGAGACCGTATTTAATTTCATCAGTCAATTTTTTTTTTTTTAAATAATAATAATAAATAAATAAAAGGCCCATAAATAAATGAAATGAAAAAAGATATATAAAAAAAAAATGTAAGTAGTCAAAGAAAAGATTTTGGAGGCTCCAAAGTCTATATTGTCTTGGCCCCAATACATAATGCGCAGATTCTGGGTTTTGCACTCCTTAAAAAAACATTTCCTGTGTCAGGCAATAATATTATTTTTTTTTTAATATTTATTTCAATAATTGATGAATGAATATGGATATATTATTTTATTAATAATAATTGGCTAAGTCGTTGCCTCGTGCATGCATTTAAATAATAATACATATATTGTCTTTGCACAGAAAAACTATATATATATATATATATATATCTTCACATAATTTTTTATGAGACTTATCTATAATTTTTATTTTCTTATTTCTTGCATTATTAATTTGTTAATTAATTAACATATAAACAAATAAATAAAGTTGAACATGCATTGGTAAAGTAGTATTAGGAATTATAATATAAAGTTGAACATGAAATTTTAAAAGGCCTATTTAAATATAAATATAATTATAAAGAGTTTGGATATGGTTGCAAATACGTCTACGCACACGAGTGTTATATAGTCTCGAAAATCGAAATATGGTTATTATCCATGTGCTTATGTCTCCACATAAATATATATATGTAGCTTTTTAATTTAATTTTGTCCATTTGTTGAATTTTCCAGATCTTGTTTTTATCTTTTTCTCTTGCGTTTTTTGTTTCATAGTTCTCTTTCGGTTTAAAGTGATAATAAGGATATATATACATATTATTAAATAAATTAAATAATGTGAAGGGGTACAAATTAATATTACAATAAAACCAATTATATATATATATATATATGTGTAATGTGTGTATGGTTTCAAATTTCTTTATAATCATTCATCTGTTAGCATTTCACTAATCAGATTTAATTACCAGATAATTAGGTCTGGAAATTAAGTAGTTTAATTAGTTCGGTAGCTAGCTCCATCACTGAATTAATCAACTTCAACTGAACTTAATAATGCAAATTAATTTTGTTAAATAATTAAATTAAATTGATAAAAAGAAAACTCATTGAACTTGGCTTGTGCACCTTTTAAATAATAATGTACAAATTGAAATTGAATTGACATATGTTTTTTGGCCAACTTGCAAGGCATGTGAATTGCGGTGGTTTTAAGTGAAAATCTTGTACGTTGTGTCATTAGATTTTAGTTGTTGGGGGGATCTTGATTGAGACAAGACAACCAATTAAATTAACAATTATAATTATAATCATCTTTCAAATATCATTTTCTTAAACAAATATGTAAATTTATACTGAGAAATATCGTATTTTTGTTTATTATTATTATTTCTTTTTGTATGACAATATGTAAATTTGTTTAACATGAGAATGTACGGTGAATATAGTTGATAGTTAATAAGTTAACCGATAAGATTAAAGTGTTTGATAGAACCACCTGAAAAGGCAACTGATGAAGAAACAAAAAATTGAACGAGCTTTTCGGAAAATTTATATCATGAAGCTTATGAGTTACAACACGAACTCTAGCCTTTTAAAAAAGTTCATCCTATCAGATGAAACTTATTTAAATACAAACAACTAAAATAGCTATATGTCTAACTTATATAATACTTATCGTTATAATTGGCTAAGCAATAAAATTGTACATGCATGTTAGGTTTGTGTCAACAACAGTTGGTTATGGAGGTAAATTTGACCCATTCTCAACTGCAATTTCACTGAAAGATAAATCGGATTATAATAGATTTTTTTTTTTTTTTGGTACAGGGATCTTCCGGTTTTCGAATCCACATGGGAACCGACTAATCTAGAATCGAGCCGGGTAGGACCACAAGGGCGGCAAAACTCTCCCTTATGATAGATTTGAGTATGATAGATTTGATTATAATAGATTTGATTGATGGACTTGCTAACTATTAATCTACAATCAAATGTAGAAAGCCATTTATACCCCTCACACACACACACACACATATATATATATATATATATATATATATATATATATATCTTTTCAAACATAATTGAACAACATGATTGGATAATAATGAAACAGTTGAGAAGTTATATTATTATGGCTAATTTTTATTATCTTATCATTAATTTCATCATGTTGCTTGTGGATATATATAACGAATCTTACTTTGTAACCATTTAGTTAGTTATAAATCATGAAGAAAAATAGTACTACTTTATAGAAGTTTTTAGTCTTTATTTAGTTATGAAGAATTGAAAATTACACCAAGCGATGTTGTGGTTACTCCGTTAATGTAGGTTTTGTAAAGTTTTACTGGGATTTTCGAGCCATATGTAATGTGATTGGCACCAATAAGTCAACAACAAATAGTTCTTTTGACTTGTCGAAACTACTCTGGACTATAATTCTTAAAACAGAACGAGTTATTTGTGAGTTTGATTGAAACTGACTCGCTAATGTTTGAGTTATCTGACGAGTCGAGATTCTTGTATAGTTTGAGTCGAGATTCTTGTATAGGCTCGAAACGAGCTGTATTGAGAGTGTAATTGGGCTTGACTCGTTAATGTTCGAGTCGTCTAACGAGCTGAGATTTTATATTACTTTCTATAATCTGTCTCGTTAAGCCTCTAATTTGATGTGAGGTCAAACTCATTTATTAGCTCGATCTAGAGTTTGAGTATTAGGAGTTCATCTCATCTTTGGTAATTTATACCTCTAACGATGACCACTTATCGTGAAATTGATTGAGTGATAATATGAACTATGATTGAACAATTGTTTTAAATAAAAAATCATACTACATAGTCAATGAATTTGAGCAATTCTATTATACCTATTGTATAAATTATACTGAGAACAATGTAGTAGTGCATATATTTTCAATTTTGAGAAACAAGTGCATAGTAAGTTAGTAACAACTCACTGCCATTCAACTTTGTTTCTACACAAAGTATTATCACATGTTTGAAGACCAAAAAAAATAAAAAAATAAATAAATAATAATAATAATAATAATCCTTACATGAAAGCAACACACGAACAGTTATTGTTGAGAAATTAAATTCAGGCAAACATGTAAGAAAATGATCTGTACAAAATTGCAACAATGAGTAAAGTCAAAATCTGATCCGCCATGGAAATAGTCTTGTTAGACTCACCGCCAAACCTCGAATTGGACCACTTCTGCTCGATTGAAAACGATGGCCTGTTTGTATGTAGAAAGGGCCTGTGCATTAATCTTTCTTGGGCTGATATGAATTCACCAACACTCTTTTCCTGCACCCAAAATCATTTCAAAGATTCAGGCCCAATATATTCAAAGGTGGGCTGACCCATTCTTTTCAAATTTCTAGGCCCAAATTGGACAAGTTTTTCCCAAACTCTCACCTCCAGCTCCTTGCCTGTTGCCACGACAATGGTATCAGGGCCCGTTTGGAAAGACAAATTTTCCCAGCCCGTCCCAATAGAAAGTTCGGTCGGTTCTAGGAAGAGATGGAGGCTCAAAGCATATGGAGCTGATTGATCTCGGCTCGACTTGTCAGATGAAATACGATTTATGATATGAGCACGGTGGTACCTATAAATGCTCAAACTTGACTCTCCCAAATGAATATGCTCTTGAATTTGTATTCTATCATTAGAAGCAATAGCCATAGCCACTTTTTGTGCAACCTCTTCAAGTTG